GACAGGGTTTCCCTGTAGCTTTTGGTGCTTGTCCCGGAACTAGCTCTTGTAGACCGGGCTGGCCTCGAACTCCCAGAGATCCACCTGCCTCTGCCTCCTGAGTGCTGGGATTAAAGGCGTGCGCCACCACCGCCCGGCTTGGAAACTGTATTCTTTTAATCACTGCTTGGCCCATTTCTATCTAGCCTCTTCTAGGCTAATTCTCACATATTAATTTAGCCCATTTCTAATCATCTGTGTAGCGCCCCTAGGTGCGCTTACCGGGAAGATTCTAGCCTATGTCTATCCTGGGTCGGAGCTTCGTGGCGTGTGTCTGCCTGGGAGGTGGTTGTGTGGCGTCTCTCTGAGGCGTCTGCTCCTGAGAGGAGAGCTGTCAAGTCTGAGCTCACTTTCTCTTCCTCCCAGCGTTCTGTTCTGTTTACTCCTCCCACCTATCTTCTAACCAATAAAATGGGCCAAGGCAGTTCCTTTATTAGCCAATGACCTTCCTCCATCACCACTCCTCCAGAAAGATCCGGATTTCAGAGTCAGCCCAATTGTAAGAGGAAGACACTGCAAAGGAAGGAGGGGTGTGATGAGTGCCTTTGATTCCATGCACATAAACATCTCAACTTTTCTAGGAACCCATTCTGCACACTGAGTGAAGCCAGTTGTGGCGTCATTCAGTTCTCAGGAGATTAGAAACACTTGCTCACAAGCCTACGATTACCAGCTACCCTGCTCTTAATCCCAAGGACTACAATGGATTGCAAGCGTAGGTGGGTGTCTTTAGTTGTAGAAAATATGTTACTGAATACAAAAGGTTCACATGGGATGAGCACTGCCTAGGAAGGTTGTCCCTACATAGACCCAACCCACTTCCCTTTCAGGGAGACTCTCACAGAACTCTGGGACTTAGCATCTCACGCAAGGCCAGCAACCTGGGACCATTGAGGACAAGCCAGTCCTTGACACAGCTGAGTTCCAGCCTAAGCCATTATGTCTCCACGAAAGAAATAGGATGGACGTGTTGGCTTTTTTTTTTAAAGCATTTAAAATTTTTTTTTTATTGAGAAAAGGAGAAAAAAAAACAAGTTTCCACCTCCTCCCAGCCTCCCATTTCCCTCCCCCTCCTCCCACCCTACGCCCCCTCCTCCCACCCTTCTCCCCCTCCCCCCACTCCTCTCCCCCTCCCTCTCCAGTCCAAAGAGCAGTCAGGGTTTTCAGCCCTGTGGTAAGACCTAGGACCTCCCCCCTCCGTCCATATCTAGGAAGGTGAACATCCAAACTGGCTAGGCTCCCACAAAGCCATCACATTACGTAGGAACAAACCCCCGTGCCATTGTCCTTTGCGTCTCATCAGCCCTCATTGTTCGCCATGTTCAGAGAGTCCAGTTTTATCCCATGCTTTTTCAGTCACAGTCCAGCTGGTCTTGGTGAGCTCCCAATAGATCAGCTCCACTGTCTCAGTGGGTGGGTGCACCCCTCGTGGTCCCGACTTCTTTGCTCATGTTCTCCCTCCTTCTGCTCCTCATTGGGAACTTGGGAGCTCAGTCCAGTGCTCCAGTGTGGGTCTCTGTCACTATCTCCATCCATCGCCAGATGAAGGTTCTATGATGATATGCAAGATATTCGTCAGTATTGCTCTAGGATAGGGTCATTTCAGGTTCCCTATCCTCAACTGCCCAAGGAACTAACTGGGGACCTCAGCTTGGGCACCTGGGAGCCCATCTAGGGTCAGGTCTCTTGCCAACCCTAAAGTGGCTCCCTCCCTGACTTCAAACACTATTACAGGGCTTTTTTTTTTTTCAGTGTTTCGAGACAGGGTTTCTCTGTGGCTTTGGAGCCTGTCCTGGAACTAGCTCTTACAGACCAGGCTGGTCTCAAACTCACAGAGATCTGCCTGCCTCTGCCTCCCAAGTGCTGGGATTAAAGGCGTGCGCCACCACCGCCCGGCTGAAGTGTTGGCTTTTAACTGAGGGTTGCATCAAATACCTGAGGGCCTTTGTGCTTCATGATTTCCACTCTGTCCCACACCAGATTCTTCAGTGTTCCTTAATCTTCTGACTTCGCCTTGTTCCCTCTGCTCCAAAGAGAATAAAGAAAATATTAAAACTGTTTCCATGCAGCAGAATCTCTGTCTCAGTTGAGAGTGGATTCAGGTTTCAGCATCTTGCAGCATGAGAAAACACTGAACTCTTCCTTCCCAATCTACTTAGGGATGTTAAATCTTCTCACTTAAGGGAAAGCTTGTCTGGAAAGTGTAACCAGGAGAGGCCCCAGTCTATAGCACATCAGCCCCCAGCTGAAGGGAATGTTCAAAGACAGAAGCACCTCTCCTCTGAGAGACCCCACCCACTCTGTCCAGTTTACTCTCTTCCCACACTCCATTCCATCATCCTAGTGCTAGAAATCCATATGAAGACCTCCTCATGAGTCCCTGCTTTGCTTCTAACATAGTAAGGATTAAGACGAGGTCTGGGAACAAGTAACTGGCCATAAAGAATCAGAAAGCAAGGTCATTTGGGCTGAGTCTATAATCCCAGCTCTTCATAACATGTAAAAGCTGGTTCAGAAGTTCAGGGTCATTCTTGGATGTATAGTGGGGTTTGGGTTAGCCTTGACACATTGAGATGATGCCTCGTTCATGGAAAACCCAGAAAGCCCATGAAGAAGGAGAGTGCAGAAGTCTGTACCTCTGCAAACTGTGGGCATGGGATTCTGTTCAAGGTAGTTACCCAGTTTTCCCTGTTTCCTTGGTGGTGAAATGCACAGAGTCCAGCACCTTCCAAGAGCCTTGCTAGGAAGACCAAACGATGTCATACACGCATGGAAAGAGTCACATGCCAGAGGCTCACTTTCGGGGTATGAAATTTCTGAGAATATTTGAAAGAGAAATACACCAGCCATCCTCCAGTGAACACAAGAGAGGATTCCTACCCCCAAATCACCTGCATTTTCCCTGAAGAGGTTTGTTGCACTCCACAGAAGTTAGATGCTTGAACTCTGTGTCCTGGTGCTACAGTCTGCAGTGTGGAGGTAGAGCTGTGTGCACCTCCCTGGGCTTCTGGAGTATGAGAACCAGGTGGAGGTCTGGGCCTTTATAAAGCTCTTGGGTGGGATTGAATAAGACCTACCTCCCTGGGTGTGGGGGGTGGAGCAGGAAACCTAAACAGGAGCCTTTAATCCCCTCTCACGTGGCTGAATCCAAGGATTTCCCAGATTTCTGGAATTTTTAGGCCACTCAGCAACACAGAGGCGCAACAGCAAATATCCAAGGCACTGTGTAAAATCAGGGTCCAACATTCAAATATCATTTTCTTAGACACAATATCTTCACATAATCCTGGCCACCCTGGAACTCACTGTTGAGATTCAACAGGTCCTGTTTTGTCTCCCTGTCTCCAGGGCTAGGATTAAAGTTTTGGGCCACCATGGCTTGGTGGTTCAGGACTTTCATACTTTTCCTTTTCCTAACATCCTCTATTCATCTTGTTGATGAAAAACTGAGACATGCAGAATGATTCTAGCCAGGTATTTTGAAACTAAGAATCATCTGTATGTTTGTAGCTAACCAATAATGACAGAAGTAGAGGACTTTGGCAGACTTGATGATCTGCAAAAAGTCTGAAAGATGTTGTTTTTCTGACACCCTTTTCCACTGGGGTTTCTAACTGAAAAGGAAAAATTTACTTGGCACCAAGCCAAAGGACAGTATTTATATACATGGCCATGAAAATGGAACTGAGGATTTGAATGTTGCCTTAAAATCCTCAAATTATCATTGCTTCATTTATCCTACACCAGGCTGGTGAAGAAAATGTTGATGAGAGATGAGAGCTTTCTCCTCCCAACTTATAATTCTATTTCCGGTATTAAGGGAGCGCACCACTACCACCTGGTTGCTATAGCAAGCTAGTGTGGCTCCTGGGATTAAAGGTGTGTGTCATTATGACCACTGGGATTAAAGGTGTGTGCTACCACTACCTGGTTTGTAAGGCTGGACCGAATATATGGATAAAAAGAGTTCGACATTATTCTGCGGATAGTGTGGAACCCTAGTGAAGGGGAACTTCCTGGAATCTTTGAGAGTGACCCTGGTAAGGAATTCTAGTAAGTAGTAATAGAAAGCCTTAACTGGCCATGCCTTGGAGCTGGGAAATTCTTTCATTGGCTTTTCTTTTTACTCACATCTACAAACAAATTATTCATGAAAACCATTCCATGCAGACGTCAAGTAATCAGTTTATCCAGAGACCGTGAGAACAGGAATCACAAGTTCTGTGACCACAGAAGAGAGAGTAGAGATAGGATTGAGCAGCTGTCGTGGCAGTAAAAGGTGACATTCCAGAAAAGAAGCCTTCACACAGAAGACTGATAGAGAGGAGTAATTTCAGGTCCCTGATTACCTAGCTGGGGAACCCTCCTGCCTGATCCAGATATTCAACCTCTCGACATTTACAAGTCCCATTGAAGGTCAAGAATAGGGCATAAAGAACAAGGTCCTGGACATGATTTGAATTTCAAATTTTATTCTGATATGAGGTATGCGGGGCGGGGGGGGGGAGCAACTGGTTACGACATGACAGGTGCTTACAGAGTTTTCCAGAAATAGCATGTCTGGGATTTTACTATCTTCATTGGTGATCTGGATGGTTCTCTGAGTCTGAGACTTCTGAGGGAGGTTGGGGTCTCCTGGGACAGAGGCTTAGACCAGGTGTGACAATGGCCATGGAGAGCTCCTCTTGGAATGATTATGTCACTGGAGGAATACGGTTCTGAAATTTGAGGCCACCTTGTGCAGCGTGGTGAGACGAAGTACCTTTCACCTTCACGCCAGCTCCAAGCAGCCAGGGCCACCATGACAATCACATCTACAGTCATACACACACGTCTACTCATTCACATCCACCCCATACACAGAAGGAAGGTTTTCACAGCCCTGGACCAACACCCTGGAATGTCTCTGGATTGGTACCCAAGTCTGGACCTGGTGAAGGGCTAGGTCCTTGCTCTTGCTACTAATTAACTGCCTCGCAGGCGTCTATCCAATCGCTGTACACATCCACTGGGTCTGACAGATTTGTAATGCGTGTCTGGAACTCCTCTAGGCACACAGCACAGGAGATGACTCCAGTCTTGCGAGCATGGTTCATTTTAACATCACAAGACTTCTCATGGTTGCAGAAGGGGCACGTGAACTGTGTGTCCAGAGGTTCTGTCCTCTTCTTGGGTGGTGGCTTTCGTTTAGACTTCTTTCGTCCCATGGCTGAAGGGGGATGAGAAAATGAAAAGACAGGAAAAAGACAAAAGGTTAGTGGACAAACATCTGCATTTGCTTTGTTAACCTTCCGCACTGAGAAAGGGTGGATTTGGAAATAACTCTTTGGGGCAGAGCCTTGACTTAATTCTGAGTTATAGACCGATGCTGGGCTATCTAAAGTCACCATGTTTCAAAAATTGAAAATCAGGTAGAAAAGTGTGTTCCTAGTGCTGGGGAGAAGAGGACAGAGAAGCAGTCAGTGTTTAAGAGTATAATTGAGATGGACCCTTGAGTTCTAGAACAGTCTGGCCTCAGAGAGATTGTGGGTCATTAAAGGAAAAGGAGGGCTTGGGGGCAACATATAAAGAGAGAATGGAGGAAGGGAGGGAAGTGAAATCAACTAAGGTGTGGTCTGGACGGTGGGTGCCCCGGATCCCAGCCCTTGTTCTGTGCCGACCAGCGCCTAGGCTTGGATTGATGGTAAGTTTGGGACCAGTCTAGCCATCATTACACTATCTTAGATACGTGAATATGTAAACGTAAGATATGTTCTCCAGGTCAGACGCCCATAATCCTAGAGCTAGGAGGAGCTCAATCAAGGGTAGCCTGTGCTGCACACAGAGAATTTCTGTCAAATGGAGACAATTACTTAGGTAGAAGCATGGAGAGCCTATAAACCAGAATTCCTAAACCCAGAATGGAGGGGATAGACAGCAGAGTGTCCTTGAGGCCATCTGGCCCCCAACCGGAATTTAAGACCAACATTGCACCATACATGTGAACCAGTACTAAAAAGACAAAATATGCTATTGTGGCTCAGATCTAAAACAGAGGCAGGGGATCACTGGGTGTTACAGACCAGCCAGCAATGCCCATTAAGTTTAAGATTGGCCTGATATAAAGAGCAAAGCCCTGCCGTGTGTGTGACCAATGAAGAGAACAAGACGAGTGTCTCGGGGCTGTGTTCCAGGCACTGTGGGAGCAGAGCTGTGAGGATCACAGTGCAAGGTGGTAGTCATCCTGGTTCACGACATAAATCTCCGAACACACGGGGCAACCTGTAAGGCCCCATTTCAAAAGTCATGAAAATGCAGCCTAGCTCACAAAAAGACACAAGAGTGGGCTTTCCCATCTCACCTGAACGTTTCGGCCTTGGCTTCCTGCTACTATTCCACAGAGTCTGGACCCAGAGGTCTCTGTGCCCTGATGTGTGCAGCAGAGCCTGGAGTGTGGAGAGGAGACCATGTGGGGATCCATCTCCTTATAAAGGTCTTGAGGGATTGAATCACACCCGCCCTACATGGGTGTGTCGTCTGGATCAAACAAGATAAACAATAGTTTGTAATTCCATCCCAGGACTGTAAAGCCTGGGGATTTTCCAAAATTGCTGTAGAGCCTAAGCTCCCTTGAGAAACATACAGCAATTAAAAAAAACTTCAAAGACTTCTATTAATTCATTTGATTTCCCCACACGTGGTGAGACCCTTCAAATAGGCTACCATTTCATAGAGCAACTAAGATTGAAAATTTTTAAACTGTCATGGTAACCTAATAATCAATTTGTCAAATGTAATTAATTCACAATACTTGGAGGAGTGGGCTGTGGTTAATGTCTTGACTACATGGGAAAGGAAAAAGAAAGAGGTAAGGGCACCTGGTGGATAGGAATGGTAGCGTTCTGCTTTGGGCTGTGGACCCGAGTACTTGCTTTCAAATGCCAGTTATTACTGTTTGTTTGGGGGATGATTTTGAGGGGAGCAATCTGAGCAAAAAGAACTTAAATACGGTAGACTTGGTGTGGAAGAAGCTCTAAAGAATGAAGAGGAAGAAGGTGATAATGACCAGAGAAACTAAGAGAACTGAACGGGTTGGAGGAGGTGGGGCAAATCTCCAGGTCTCTGGAATAATCAGCTCAGTACAAGGACAGGGGATTATCTGGATTCAGGGCGAGTGGCAGTTCATGATTATCATCTCACGGTGTTTATACGCGGCAGGTCCTTCCTATGAGGGGTGTGATGACCTCTGCTTTTCATGGACACTCAGCCACCACTGGAATTGTTATGTGATATTTTGTCTGTATTCAGACAAACAAAGCTTGTCTGGAGGTCAGAGGGTAGAGCTAGTCACTAGTTAGCTACAGATGCCACTCAATGGTGGCACACACGCCTTTAATCCAAGCAGGTGGGAGAGGTGGGAAGATCAGGAATTCAAGATCACCCAGGGCTATACCAGATGTACCAGTAGGAAAGAGAAACACAGCCAGGTGATGGTGGCTTACACCTTTGATCCCAGTACTTGGGAGGAAGTAGAAATATAGGGAGTTCAAGGGCACCCGGGATTATACTAGAATGAACCCGTCTAAAAGAGAAATAGAGCAGGCACTGGTGGCTCATACCTTTGATTCCAGTACTTGAGAATAAGTAGGAAAATCAGATTGATCATGTCTAAAAGAGAAACAGAGCAGGTGGTGGTGGCTCACAACTTTGATTCTAGCACCTGGGGTCTGATGCCTTGGACACCAGCACCTTGTAGCCTCAGTCTTTGATCCCAGCATTGGGAAGTGGAGACAGGGATCTAAGACAGGTGGAGACAGGGTCTCTCCCCCATTCAGTCTGAGGATTCTTAGAGACAGAATCGCCCCCATTTGGTCTGAGATTTTGCACAGGTAAATCCTCTAGTGCAGCTGGCCGTTTTGCATCTCAGATCTCCAGGCAAGCTTTGTTTGTCAGAACACAAACAAAATATACAATAGGTTTTCCCTTCTCCTCTGTCTCCTGTGCACCAGCTTTGGGATTTTGGCATTCCCATTCCTTCAGCAGAGCTACAAGAAAACCCATCACCTATGATGTCCAGGGAGGACTCCCTGCTTCCCAGATGAGCACTCTGGGAACCCACCATCCTTTCACAGTCCACACCTTTCTCCTGCCTTTGTTCCAGAGGATCCCAGCATCTGGCAGCCATGGGGAATCACAGTTGACAACCCATGCTCTCAGTATAGACAAGTAGAGATTCCTTTTCCCATTGTCTTTTTCTCTCTCTCTCTCCCCCTCTCTCTAGTCCTCAGAGTTGTACAGTGCTGTGGGTGAAGGTGTCTATTCCTACCTCATAAGAGAAGAAAACGTGAAATTAAATAAAGGTCTCTGTGTTGTCGTCTCCTTACAGCTTCTGTAGGGGTCACAATGGGACATGGCAGGCGTCTTCAAACCCTCAGATCTTACCTTTTTGACTTACTTTTTCCAACAAGACCGTAGCACTTAACCTTGGAGACCTCAAAATGTTGGAGTTCCCAGAGCCATAGGACAATTGCCAGGGAGAGTCACTAACAGAGACTGGAACCAGCTCAGGAGAAATAACTGTGCTGCTGTCAACAAAACTAGTGGAGTTGGAGATCTGAAGAGCTGTTTGACCTCAGCCACGGAGATGCAGAGTTTGAAGTTCACTGAATTAGTTTTCAGTCTTGCTTTTGTCTGGGTTTTCCTCACTGTGCTTCTTTTCCTTCCTTTTGGAACAGTAAAGTATGCTCTGAGCCATTGTATATTGGAAGTATATGATCTGGTTTTTTTATTTTAATTTTACTGGGGAATATAGTTAAGAGATTGCAGGAATCAGCACTCACAGCTTTAATCCCAGCACTCAGAGGCAGAGGCAGGAAGGTCTGGTCTGCAAGAACTAGTTCTCCCGGTTTGAAATCGACAGAAAAACTGTCTTGAATAACCAAAGAGAGACAGGGAGATTGCATGAATCCCAGAAGAGACTTTGAAGTTTATACAAATTTGAGTAGTTATAGACTCTGGGAACTTTTGAAGTTGGACTGAATACATTTCTACATTATACTATGTCTACAAGCCTATAGGGTCAGTGTAACATCCATGCTACTAAGCCTATTCTGAGCTCTACTGCTCCTGTACGGTCCTGTAGTGCCTGTACTACGTGCACTACAGTACTACGCCTGGAGCTTACCACCTGCACTACAGGACGGTTTGCAAGCCTAGCCGGGCAAGGGGCTAGAGACTGAAACACACACACAGAGACAGAGACACGGGTCATTCTTGAACTCTTCGAGAATGCCAACTTGAATCAAGAACGCAGCCTTTAATGTGTTCCAGGGCAGCTTATTGCCTCCCCTGACCAATCGCCATGTCCTAACTCTCAGCTTCAAGCCACCAGCAACCACTCCCCTGTCTCATGCTCAGAGTAGCTGCAAACACAGGAAATAAAGTTGTTTGGCTCAAAGCAGCTGCAAGCATAGAAAACAAGTTGTTTACAGTAAATTCAGGGTCTGGGGGTCCACTATCCTGAACAGGACAGGCAGTGGAATGTGGTGATTTGAATAGGAATGGTCCTCCATAAACCCATGTGTTTGAATTATTGATCCATACGGTTTGGCACTATTAGGAAATGTGGCCTTGTGGGTAAAGTGCTTTACTGTGGAGGCAGGATGCATGGTCTTACAGGACCAAGCTATGCCTAGTGCAGCAGTGGACCGGATGTAGGACTCTCAGCTCCTTCTCCAGCACCATAACTGCCTGCATGCTGCCTTGCTTCTCACCATGACAAAAATAAACCAGACCTCTGAAACTGTAAACCAACTCTTGTCATTTCCATTACACACACACACACACACACACACACACACACACGTATGCACATAGACATACACACACACACACACACACACACACACACACACCACAGAATTTATTAGAAAGACCTTCATGTTGTGGTCCTTCTAATCTGCCAATGACTGGCCCTGACCCTAAAGCCTAAAAATTCATCAGGGCTGTGGTCCACAAAGCTGGAAGTCTCAACTGGTCCTCAGCTAACACTGGAATCCTGAAGAAGCAGCCTCTACGGCAGGTGAAGGAATAGACTCGCTATAAGGATGAGGGGAAGCAGGCAAAGAGCAAATGCTTTCTTCTCCTGTGTCCTTATATAACATTCTAGCACAAGCTGTGGCGCAGATTTAAGGTGTTTCTCCCTCTCTCCCATCTTTCCCATATGAAAAGTTTGTGTCTTCCAGTCTCCAGATCAGGATTAGACTTGGATCCACCTACCTAAAATTAGGGAAAATCCCACACAGCTGTGTTCCCTGGTTTTGGAAGTTAGTTAATAGCAATGGAGTCAAGTTGACAACCAAGAGTAGTTATCACATAATTTAAACTTATTTTTTGGATATGGTCTTTTTACATATTCATCCTGGAACTCACTATGTAGACCCAACAGTTCAGGTCACCGCACCTTGTCTTTCTCTGCTTTGCCTGCCCTGCTACTGGTAGTAAGGACATAAGCCACTATGGTAGGTAATTCAATTGAACATATTTGCTGAATGTGTTCATTAAATCTAAAGAGAAATTATAAACCTGAGACACACAGATTTTTATTAACCTTTATTTACAAATAAGCATCATCTCTAAAATCATAGCTGATCTACTGTAATTTCAGCAGGGATACCTAGCAAGTTCATTATCTGGACACTAGAGAAAAAGGAAACAATGGAGGACACATGGGGACACAGGACAGCACAGCCTGTGGGGAAGACAGGACGCCATAATTATGGGGAGGGTTTGTAGCAAGAGTTTGGTGAAGCTCATCTGCATGTAATCTGGCCTGCTCCCAAACTCACCTGTGCTCTTCAGGAAGTAGGTTATTAGATAAGATCATATAGATGTCATGAAAGGTGAGATTATAAGACTGGGTAAGATATTGGAATTGTTTTATGAAAATGGTAGAATTAGACATATAGGACCCCAGTATTTTTTCTATATGGGAGAGTTCTGAGAGTGAGAAAGGAATGTGTACCCTAATAAAACCATCTACACTGGACACCTCTCACAACGGAAGAACTGTAGCGGGCTTGGCTTGGTTAGAGTTGGGTTCCATAGCAGCACGTGAGCATATGAGAGGAGAGATAAATGTGGCGGTGGCCAGACACTGCAGAGGAAGAATGATTCAGCGGGGCTGCTGGAGCAGGTAGTGGGAGGGGGAGAGATGAAGAGCAAGCAGAGGGAGGAAGCTAAGCAGCAGGAAGTAAAGAAACAGAAGTATTTGTTGAGGTCCGAAAGGTATGGATTCCTTACTGGGGTCCATAGCAGTAGCTAAAGTAACTGGCGGAGGAACAGGAGTAGGAGTTTAAGGGGCAGGAGTAGGAACTGGGATTGACCGAACAGCGGACTGAACAGTTATAGGAGCTAAAGGGGCAGGAGTAGGATTGGAGTTGAAGGAACAGCTGAAGAGACTAAAGGAACAGGAATAGAAACTGGAGTTGAAGGACCAACAGCAGGGGCTAAAGGAACGGGAGTGGGAACTGGGAGAATGGGGGTAGCTGCCTGCTGAGGTCAAAAAGGCAGGGGTTTGTTAGCGGGGTCCAGAGCAGAAATGGAAGATTCTTCCGGTACAGATGGCATAGCCAAGAACTTGTGAGCAGGCGAACAACTTGCAAGGACAGAGGGTTTGGGCTTCAAGCCTAAATAGTAAAAGGCTTGGATGTAAGGAAACTCCCTCCATTTGTCTGTGTGCTGACAATAGTTAGAAAGCTCCCATAAAATATCAGGATGAAAGTTGCCGTTAGCCACTTTAGATTGCCAACTAAAATGTAACGAGGCCATTTTTTTGGAACAAAGATGAACAAGTGTGGGAATCTGTAAGATGGTAATTAAGGCCTGGGGTTTCAGGGCCTCTAAACGACATCCCAGGGGGAGGCTGAATTGATGGGCTTTGATGGCTTGCTACCCGTAGCTGAAACCATGAAAAACCCATGAAAAACAGCAACACCACAAGGCGCACAGGGAGACATCTCTCAGCTGTGGGCAGGGTTTGAAACAGCGAGCAACCATCGCAAGACCTGTGGGAGAGCGTCCCCTGGCAACTAGTGGAATGGTATGGCCTGGTTGGATCCAGTTGGGGGACTCAGAAACCAGAGAGACCAGAAGTCACTCCAAGTGGCCTTTCACGGTGAGGGAAAAAAAGGAAAGGAAAGGAAAAAGGAAAGGAAAGGAAAGGAAAGGTAAGGAAAGGAGAAAACTGAGAAAAATAATCTGAGGCACCCTGGGCCCCCAGTCATGGGTGGATCAGCCCCGGGTTGTTCCAAACACAATTTTAGCTAAGGGAAGCAATCCAGAGACGAATATCAGTGAAGGGCCCAACCATAGCCATGAAGACCATGCTTGGGGGCTGTCCTTCCATTTCTAGGAACACCAGAAAATTGCTGGAGCTCAATGGTTAATTCCTCAGATTTGGAGAAATGGTTAAGAATTGAAGCCACTGTTGTGTGGAGAAATTGCACACAGGCATATGGAACATGTGGTTGTTTTGGAGAAAATACCAGGTTCTGGATTGCGACCCCGGAGAAAGGCTTGGGGTAGGAGAGCCTCCCAAGTCTCATGGCACCAATGAAATTACCTGATGCGAGTGAGAAGGAAACACAGAACTCGCAACAAACCTGCTTAGGAGTTTATTAGAGGGGGTACATACAGGCCTGGGAATCAGTGTGCAGAGAGAGAGGAAGATGGTGCGTCCAGCTTTTAAAAAGCTATCTAGCATGTGCTCACGGGGGTTGATGTGACTACGTCATACACAGATGAAGCCGATGACGGGTTCTCACACATGCACGTGCTCACAGGGGTTGATGTGACTACGTCATACACAGATGATGCCGATGACCGGCTCTCACACATGCACGTGCTCACAGGGGTTGATGCGACTACGTCATACACAGATGATGCCGATGACCGGCTCTCACACATGCACGTGCTCACGGGGGGGGGGGTTGATGCGACTACGTCATACACAGATGATGCCGATGACCGGCTCTCACACATGCACGTGCTCACGGGGGGGGGGGTTGATGTGACTACGTCATACACAGAAGATGCAGATGAC